GTGGTTGTGAGTGTGCAGGAGGAAATAATTTCTTCTCATTAAAGGTGCAATCTTCGAGCCCCCCAGATCTTTGTTGTAATAACTGGAGAATATAATCTCTTTTATTGATAGGCACATGTAGCAGAAAGTATGCCAAGTGACAGGTACTTATCTTTTGCCTGTGTCCTGTGTTGAAGAAAGATATAATTCTTTGTGACTGCTCCTCGGGGCATCAGCTCTTCAACTTCATTATTTCTAGTTATGATAGATATATTTTTCCTTGAAAACCTGAGAATTAATATGAGAGCCAGCAATCTCTGCCAGCAGTCATTTGGAAATGGAACAAAAAATGTCATGTCAGTTTAAGGAACATTTTTTAATGCTACTCAATGACATTATTCTAATTTATTGATGGATTCATAGAATAATCTCATGTTTTGGTAAATTAACTTCAGGATTTCAGTGGCTACCTAGCAGCCATTAGATGTTTGGAAAAAGTCTAATCGTGTCACAACAGCCAAACTTCTTTTACATTTGCTTGTATATATCATTATCTTAAATGGTATATTTCCAAATCAGTTTTTACAATATCTCAACATGGCTTGTAAATTATTGCAGCTTCTTACAATAGAGTTGTAAGTAATGTACTGGTTATTAGTGCAGTGAGTTCCTTTAGACAGCAGTGGGAGCTTTAGAGTCTGTTTTTAACTAAACTCATTTCTTCTCGTTTTGACCGACGGATATAAACAAGCTCATATTTGTCTTCATTGCACGTCTCCAAATGAGTTTCTCTTATGGTTGAGGAAAAAGTAAAGCCAATCAGCAGAAGAAATGCGTGACATTTTGGGGGATCCATATCTGATGTTAATTTTAACATGTTTTGACATTGACTTTTCTTCCTTGTTATTTGGTTTTCCACAAATCACAGATGCAACAATAATGTTGAAGTTTAAAAGTTAATAAGAATACCATACAGCTTTGTTATAACATAAAAGAATACAATATTTTTTTTTTCAAAAGTTAATGTATGAGGAAATATGTATTTATTTTGTTTCCGCAGAAATTAATTAGCAAAGAAATGTAAAGTATGTTATTCTATGACGTTGCATATATTGGAGCTTAAAGATGCCAGAGAGGTTTAGTGAAACCAAGTTTTACAGCTGAGACTCCAAAGAAATAATATTCGGCCTTCTGTTACGTGACACCTCGAGGAGACATACTAATACAATTAGAAAGAAGCATGATAATTGAACTAATAATAACTGATGTTATGCTTAGTTGAGGTATTAATAAGGACCGAGTTACCCTCAAACAGAACCACGGGATTAAATAATCAAAATTATCATCAATGTGTCAAATCACAAGGAGGAGAATTTTAGGATCAGGTTGTAAAGAAAGATTCTACTGACATAACAAATGTCCTAAAATGCATTTAAAATACAGTGATGCACCAGACAGACAATCTGGTGGTCGACGATGAAGGGGCAGTTCACTCGTCTCACCTGCGAAGCTCCCGATTACCTCAGCTACCCCCCAACCCATCAACCGCCCCCCTACCTCCACCCACCTGCCCCCAACCTAATCCAAGCGTTCCCTCTCTGAACTCCAGCAGGGGTCGGTCGACTTATTGCATTATGTACTATTAAACAAACTTGGACTTCTTAAGAGCAGAGTCAGACTTCAGAGGCTGTGTGGCGTGTTTATGGGGATGGACTGTACAGTACACAGAGATTTCTCATTTCTCTGAGTGACCTTGGGCACAGTGACATGTACGGGTTTGAGGCTTTGATTTGCCATGTTGAGCGGTTGCGGAAAAGGTGCAATGCGAGATAATTTTGGCATTTCTTCCCTCCTGGGAGCATAGAGAAGTGAGAACTACAGTACTTCACACTCGGGAGATTACAGGTAATGTGGCACACAGCCTTCATAAACATTCTTGACCCAGCCTGATGATGGAGATATTGCTTCGGGAGAGACTTTTCACACTTTGATTTGCCTAAAATGAGATGGAGAAGTCAGTGATCAAGACCCTTTGAGGTTCCGCACAGAAGCAGCGCCGGCTCCCAGCATTGCACACAGCAAACGAATACTACTATAGCCAGGTGGGCAAAAAGCATGCAAACAAATATGACCAAATGTACCCAAAGAGATGATAGTGATATATTATTCATGTCAGAAAAATACTAAAACGATCCATCTCAAGCCATTGAAGTCAGGTGATAATCCACATGCTTATAGGGCAGCCCTGGGCGAATTAGGGATGAGGAAGCCATTGTGCATCCCTCTGAGGTCAACATGGTTGATATGTATGTTAATTTGCCTAATCTCACTTCTACAAATGTCTTACAGGCACATAAAGGGTTTAACACTAAGACATAATGATATCAGGGCATCAGATGGGGGGGCTTACAAAAACATGAGACAGCCATAGCTTTAAATCTTCTGCAGTCCAACACCAAGGCAAGTATGGTTGGGATTTTGAATTATAATTTTTTTATTTAAATATAAACAAAATATATGTTTTCTAGTAATAGATCATCACAAAGAAATGTATTTATTAAGCTTAAATCATTACTTTAAATTAAAAAAACAATTCCAGGCCTCGTCTGCATGGTGTTAATTTGAAAGAATATGAATGAAGGTTTTATTAAAACCGCAGTTATTTTTTCACAAATTAACTTTCTGTTCGCTCTGAATTGAACAGAAAGAAATATGCAAATAATACAGGGGCTGTTTCTGCAGGAGGACCTTTCTTTATCTCATGTAAACACTCTCGCTAAAGACAAACCTTTTCTGCTTCTAACGCCCTACCAATGCCAAAAAAAAAACCCTTCTAAATGACACATTGCCGTGAGTAGCTATAGTGACAGATAGTTTGTTTAAGAGTGTCAAATCAAATAAAGGCTTCTTCATCTCTGGAGTTTATCCAACGTTAAGTGCTCACATTGTTCAGCACCTTAGCGTTTATATAAATATAAGCATGCCCATAAAAACGTATTCACCATCTAATTGTGTGGGTTGCAAGCGTGTATTGTAAATACTTAGGTGAACGGAAGCTATTTTTAATAGATTAGTCCTCAGAAACGTTTATGTATTTGTATCATATAACTTATTTTAGGCCTGAGCGAAGCAAGACAACAGATGTCAAGTAAAGACATAATTGGTTTGGTTTAAGAAAATATATATTTTAATGAGCATCACTTTTATCCTGGGAAACAGATGTACTGCTTCTCACTTAAGGATCTTTGATCAAAAAGAGGAAGAAAAAAAACTATTTATAAGAAAACGTTTTCTCCCACTTATTTCCATAGTTGCATCTCCACCTTTCCCAATTCAGTTCCCGTCTTAGACAGAAAAAAACATAGGCTATCTATTCAAAAGGCATTTAGTCCATTTCTTTCTTGGCCGGTAAACCTATTCATCAATTGTTCTGGCTTGTAGATTGCATTCTAATGCTAATCTAGCGTGTTAAATATCTTTTTGTTCCCCTTTCACCGTTTTGTCATTCAGTTTATCCAGTTTTGGCCACCCATTTTATTTATTTATGCGCCTGCTTCTATTCATGCGCTCATGTATTTTTTATTATGTTGTTTCACTGTCATGCAGTGTCAACTCACTCTATTCAATGTGGGCTACTTGAAGGGCTTGGAGGGACAAAGCGTGTACACATTGCACTGCTATTCACTCCGGCCAGCTGGATCGCCTGAAAAAAAAAAAAAAGCCTGTGAAAAGAAATCCTCCACAACGGACACAGAAGAAGTGCACAATGCTAACAGTTTTCCAAATACCACTGATTGCTTTCATCACAATGAGGGAAAGCAGCCGCTTTTGCTGAGCTCCACTTCAACAAACAACACTCTCACAAAACCTCCCAACCCACGTTTTGTTCCCAGACAAAACCTCCTCGACCGTCTAAACGCTCCCAGAGTAAAAAAAAAAAAAAAAAAAGTTCTTTCAGTATTCTTCGCCTTTTCCTCAAGAAAAGAATAATAATAAAAAAAAGACCCGAGAAAGAGAAAGAAATGGCCATTGGACGCGTAATACAAGTTCTTTTCCAGGCATGACGACCATCCCTGTCTTTTGATGGCACAAGCTCCTTACGGCTTTCCCTTTGCCTAAAATCATTTTTAAATGTGCCATTGTCATTTTGTTATTTTACGCAGTACTGAAATGTTGTATGATTAGGTATATTTATTAATACTAAAATTAAGTCGAAAAAAATGTATCACTCTGGCCTCAAAGTCACTCGAGAACCAACACATTTTAGTGTCAAAAAGAGCGATTTTCTTTTTGCGTGTAAATGACCCACAAGGTCACCGGCGCTCATTTTTCGGGGGCCAAGAAGGAAGTTGCGTGGAGAGAAGTGATCGGGGTGTTACAATGGAGAACGGAGTGCTGAAAGGGTTTAATTAACCGTGACGGAGATAATTATCCCTGGACTGTCCAAATTAGTTTTGCATAATCGCCCTGATCCTTATGAATTAATCTCTCTGGGGCAGTTTGCTTAAACAACATTGCCTACAAGTTATAGATCTAATAGGAATTGGAACGACGCACGCAGACACACCTGCTTAACTCCACCCATTAGAACAGGTGATCAGCGGGCTTCTTTTTTTTTTAAAGCAGCGTGTCCCTCTTTAACTTAAATGAAATTCACTTTGTTTTATCTCAGTTCATGATGTTTTAAAAAGCCTCAAAGACAAGCTTGTTCCAGCATGGGAAAAGGAAGCTCGGGGTAACACGCCGTTTTATCTTTCCTCCTATTCACGATTAAAATTGTGATAAATGAGGTTTTGGCTCTTGATAACAAGGGGCGGTTTTGGTTCCCCCCCCCCCCCCCCCCCCCCCCACACACACACACACACCACCACCCTCCCGCCCACTCCCAGTAATGCCTTTCAGGGGGCGGACAAAAGCGGCCTTTGGAGGAAGGATACCTTACACTTCACCTGGACTGAGGAGCGGGGAAAGAAAAGATAACAATCTTGTTCATTTCTTCAAGAACTACAGCCGCGATTCTCTTCTGTTTAATCCGAATACGCTTTATTGTAGTCCTTTGCTCAACACGTGAACAATAGGCTGAAGTACATAACGGAAGTTAAAGAAAACACAAAAACATACAAATTCCATAAGAGTTAGTTGAAAACGTTTTTTTTTTCTTCTGCTGCACATGACACGGGGACTGGGAGGGTGATGGAGCAAGAAACGATAAACTCCTTGAATAAACTTGCAGCTGCATCTAGATTTCAACTTTTTTTTCACCGTTCGGAAGAAGGGGGGGGGGGGTTGATCGATCAAACCCACTGAAATGCAACATCATCTTCAAAATAAATTACATCCTCTACGTTTCATGTGCAGAAATTACAGAACTAGTCTTGTCCTTCTTAAAATTGTCTGGTTCACCATAGATTCCATTAAACAATAAATATTACAGACATCTATAAAACGGTTGAAAAAACTCAGAATATACACTGCATTTCTAGTGAAACGCGCAGAGGTTCCTGGCCCTATCTCAAACACTAAGCCTATAACGGCAAATAAACTAGAGTCGTTTTTATCTGTACACATTTACAGCCACTCAAGAAGGGGGAAAAGGGTTGTGGCAAATCCTCCTTGATCCGTGAATTACAACCCGTCATCCTACAACCACGTCCTGTGATTAATATGGCCGTTGCATCATGCCGCCCATGATTCCAACAGGTCAGTCAAAGCAGGTGCAACTTGCAAAAGATAGAAATCGTAGAGTGTGTACCTTTGAAAATGGGCTTTTCACAAAATGCTCTGACCTGACCCCCCTGTCACATGTGTGCATCTTCGCCATCCTTTAGTCCGGGGATGGCTGGGCAATAATCGATTAGAGAGTTCTCTAAATAAGCAGTACCTTAGATCAAGGCATTAATCAATATACATACACATGTGATATCTGAGACGACGAGCACTTCATCACATGTACAGGTTTGTGCATGCATAATAAAACTCTTGCATGAACGGCGTTTTTTGTTTGTTTTAGTTTTAGTTTTTCACATTTCTCTTCTCTCGGGAGTCCAGCGCGGGCCTTATCATAACGCCGCGGCGTACGCGGGGTACGGTTCAAGTTGAGGTTTCCCCATCCCGGGGAGCAGGATGTACGCCAGGGGCGGCTGGAGTCCCGCGGAGGGCCAACCCGCACAGTTACAAGGGATCATGTACCCGGGGTTCCCCGGAGACGGATGCGAGTGAGTGTGCCCGTGCGTCGACCCGCCGCCTACGCCGCCAGTCCCGGCGAAAGCCGCGGAGCCGCCCGGCGGGTAGCCCAGCGGGGACGCGTACGAAAAGGCAGGCGGGGAAAGCTCGGTCATCTTGGATCCCAGGTCGAAAAAGGAGTAGGGGTTCGACATGGCCGGGTTGAAGAAGACCCGCGCCGCCGCCGCGGCCGCGGCCGCCGCAGCCTTGTCGTGGTGTCCCATGATGGAGTCGGAAAGCGACCCGGCGGAGAGCCCGTTCACTTTCAGCGCGTCGTGCTCCCCGAGGTTGTAGGGCACGGGGAAGGTGAACTTATCTTTTTTCATCAGAGTCTTGGGCTTCCGCCTGGGTCTGTATTTGTAGTCTGGGTGTTCCTTCATGTGCATCGCTCGCAGGCGTTTGGCTTCGTCGATGAACGGCCTTTTCTCGGACTCGGTGAGAAGTTTCCACTCCGCTCCCAATCTCTTGCTGATCTCGGAATTGTGCATTTTGGGGTTCTCCTGAGCCATTTTTCTGCGCTGCGCTCTGGACCAAACCATGAAGGCGTTCATCGGGCGTTTGACGTGATCCATTGGTTTAGACATGTTGGCACAAACTCCCTGGGAAAAAAAATAAAAATAAAAGTGAAAAATGAGTTCATAGGTATAAATCACTTGCAAAATAGGAACAGCAAGTTCGCTTCTACTCATTCAACCTTAAAAACAACCGCCGCGTATCTTTTGGCTACTTACCCAATACTTCAGTTCCTCATGTTCCACCGATGAATATCGTCAGTAAAGTACAAGTGGCGGCGTCCGTACGAATGCTCTACTTATGTTTTCTGCTCCATGGTGGCATCCACCGGGGATGCGCCTTCAGCGGGAAGAGGAGAAGAAGTAGTAGGGGGGGAAAAGCCGTCTTGTTTCCCCGTCGCGTCGCTCGAGACTGTCAAACCACCACTCGGCAGCAGCGTTTACGCAAGTGGATGACAACTCCCGCTCGCCCCATGTGAAATACACGACCGTGTGGCAGGTAGTGAAAGTGCCACCGGCGCATGCGCAGTCGGCGCCCAGCAACGTAGACGACTTGCTGAACGATTTTTCTTTCTTTTTTTCTTTTTTTGAACATTCCACCCTGAAACACGTCTCATACATCTTTATTTATTATGTAAGGGGGGGTTGACCACGGCGTTGTTTCGGCTCATTGGTCATTTTGTATTTTATTCCAATGAGCAACTTTTGGCAACATTGTTCAGTTCAATTAAAGACATTGACGTATTATTATTCAAGTGACCCCCGCACCTGAGACACACCTGACGGTGGCGGCGTGCGTTATCACTTATCCACTAACACAGTTTGGGACCCGCAGCAGGCAGGTGCACGCGTTGATGGAGTTCAATTTGCATTGAATCTGAGCCATCAAAGTACTTGAAGCAAACGCAAACTTGCTCTCCATTTTTTTTAAAACGTTCGTTGTAATTACGCGTAATCGCATCTTGTCTACATTTGTTTAATTGACAATCACACCAGGTTGAGCCCGTTGGTGTCTCCACGTTGTCGCCCTTCTCCCTCAGCGGTGTGTCTCTCTGTCCTGTCCCCCATGGGTGGCACTGCCATAGAAAAGTAGCGTGAAAGACGACAAGAGAGGTAAAAAAAAAAAATGTCTTCTTTAATTTTCTGATATTGTGGTATTTGTCGTAAATACGCAAATGCGGCGACGGACTGAAGTGTTTCTAATCGCGCTCGGTGAAATTAATTACTTTCCTGAAATCCCCCTTTTCACTTTCACTTCAAAGGACTTTCCCAAGGGCAGCGAATCGACAACTGAAATTAGGTTGTCGAGTATTCAACTAAGCAATTACAGTTATCTGTAGGACTTGTTGAGTAAATTGTAGGTTTAAGTGGTTTGTTCTCGCAACCTCCCCGTTGTACATAATTATATATATTTACATGCCAAAAAAATGAAATGGAGAAGGAATGTATCGAACAATATCACAAATGAGGAATTAGAGTGCAGGTCGAGCGTTTAAATTAGGATATAAATGGATGTCAAATTCAATTCTCTGCACTGTTGTTCTTTTTTTATACGGTGCAGCATTATCTAAGGACAGCTTTCACAATACATTGTTGCTGTTGGTATTTATATTATTCTTAAAAATAACAAACACAAATATGACACAAATAAGACGGCCGCTTTTAAAAATGACATGCGCCGATTATTGAGCGGGTGAAAGTGGAGCAATTCCAACCTAATGCGCCATTTCCAGCAGACAGCGCCCTTTTGTAATTTCTGCAGTTTGAGCGTTATGTTGCAAAATGTTTCTATTAATAAGGATTCATTGTGGTTTATTTTGACGCAGAAAATGATCCCGCCGAGGAATCGCTCTTTTGTCTCAAGTCGGAAACCTAACAAGGTGGCGAGCGATCCGCGCCAGGAGGACCAGACGAGGGACAAACCTGCTGCACCAAGTGAGTCGCAGCGTCTCTCAACACCGCGCGCCCCTTTTGTCGGCTTGTCATTCACCTCGACGACATCACTGCGATGAAGCGCTCCGCCGCAGGAGCACGTGCCTCTCGTGACACACAACCGGATAAACAAAAACAAAAAAAATGCTATGAATTATATGAATACGTTACGGTGGAAAGTTCATTACAGTTTACAGTTTTAGAGGTGTGCAATCCAGTGTCTGCGCATGTTTTCCACTTGCTTCCTGCAGATGTTTATGTTGTTTTATTTCTCTCTGCATGTTGGTCTTATTTTTCATTTTATTATTTTAGTTTGGCTTTTTGACAATGGAGAGAAGCCCCCCTCGCCACCCCTCCGCCGCCCCCCTCCCAAGGCATGGCCTCGCGTTTTAATTATAACACATGTCGGATGATTTTAGATGATGCCGGGGCCTATGGTTGATGCTGTATTAACGAAGGCGCACTCATGCAGCGCGTTTTTCCAGTTTATCAAAATGTCAAGTGTGTTTTATCCATTTCATAAAAAAAAAAGTTAAGTAATTGCAGCCTGAGAAAACAGTAAATTATTCACTTTAGTAATTTAATGGAGATCTGATAAGTAGAAAAAAAATACCCCCCCCCCCTCCCCCCTCTCCTTTTTTTACCTCAGCCTGGGTGCTGGAAATAACACTTAAATAATTCAAGATGAGTTAGTGAGAGTGTGAGAATTACCTGCCGATAAAGCTCCGGTCCAGCCTCTGAGACGGAGCCAGCACTCCCACCTCACAGCACACTGATGATAAGACTGAATAGAAAAATATCATGCAAATAGAAGGCAGACAGCAGCAACAACAAGCCCATGGGGACATATTCCTACCCGGAGAGATCGCACACAGTTCACTCTAAAGTGCTAAAGCCATCACTCTGAAATAGGAGACCCTGGAGGTGCAAGAATCTTCCTGATAGCACCAAACAGTTTATTCTGCTCAACACTCCACTAACTCTGGGAGGAAGCGCGATGAATTATAGCGAGAGCTGATGAGGATCCCCGGATAATCCCAGTCTACATAAAAAGCCATGATCTATATGGAATATTGTAGACTGTGCACTACATTTTTCTTTTTAAATGTGTTCAGGGTTCTTCTCCCACCGTGACACTGTTCTAGGTGGAGTCAGGGGAATCGGGTGTTAAAATGAATTGATTTTAAAGGAACACAAGTTGACCTCTTGTTATCAGATGGCTTTTCCTTAACTGGTATAAAAAGAAGAAGAAGAAGAAAAGATGAGCAGGATAAACAACAGTATCTTCTGTTTGCCACTTCAAACCCCAGCGTGGAGAGTATTTACCGCCACATGGAAGTTTGCTCATTATTGGGGAGGTTTGAAGAAAGGGAGAGGGAGGGTTCCTGATTGTGTACCTGATGTGGTTTCTTTCTGCTTGTCTGATCACAGCTCTGCCTGGATCTTCCCCTTCCTTTTCAGCTCTGGCTGCTCCCTTGCAGGCGGGGGCCAAGGCAGAAGCAGTGAATGCACCTCACAGTGAAAGGTAGTCATCTCTTTTTAATCAGAGGATTTGTTATAAATCCTGATATGAACGTGCCGATTGCTCCACTTTTTACAGCCGATGTTCAGATTGAGGATTCATGGTGCAGATAACGGCACAAATATGGGGGGGGGGGGGTATTCCATTATACCATGGTGTCATATTAATAAAGCTTTAAGGAGAAAACATTGTTTCAAACATAAATCATCTCATACTAGGTGACTCTTTTCTGTGCTCTATTATTCATGGGCCTGCAGACAAAGGTATTCATATATTAACACACCTTTCCGAAGAAGGAAACACATTTTCTTGAAGCAAAGCAAACATGTTAAGACGTGCATGCTGTGGAGAGTATTGAAAGTCAATTTGTCACTATCACACGCCATTAGCCGCAGAATCTTATCTTAAGTGAGCCTTTGATAAAGTGCTAATGACAAACAGTTTAGCGATGTAAGGGATCCAATTGATTACTATTTGAAGATGATTGCTATTAGATTAGAAGTCATTTTTTTCTAATGAGGTTTCTTTAGAGCCGCCACAATACGTATAAAATATGCTTAAGTGCAAGGCAATATAATGATCGGATTGGTAGAGAGACAATGCCGACTTCAGCATCACTTCAAATGACTCAGACATGAATGTCTGAATAAATACATAATTAATGTGAATAAAGTTAATTTTTTTTGTGGTTTAAATATGTGACCTATTTTGAACGTTGTGTTCTCAAAATATATTCAATAAGTGCCAAATTAGTTGTGCAGTTCTTTAATCATTCTAATTATACAGTATTTATTGCTCCTTAGGGCATACTTTCGTGTCTTTGTCTCAGTGGGAATTATTTAGGTGAAGAACCAAAATATTTACCCAATCACAACCTAAATATTACGCATATCAAGAGGTACTGAGAAATAATCCTCTCATAGAGCACAGTATTAACTTAATCACATTAGAGAAAATACTATTGATAGTGGTCGTGATCCCTAGTGAGGGAATCTGTAATTCACAATAAATCAGCAATACAAGAAAGAACACACTGCGTTAAAGGCTGGGGAGTGGGACAGGCAAATGGCCCTGAGGATTAGGTGTGCGTGTGTGTGTGTGTGTAGGTGTATGTTTGTGTGAATGCTTCAATGAGAGTAAAGAGGGAGAAAAGAGGAGTGATTGTCAGTTCGATCTTTGAGCACCTTCACTGACAGATACAACAAACTTCTAAGGCACATTATGGAAGGAGAATGGCAACAAAGAAGGATGTGGAGTCCGCAAAGTTGATAAGACCTTCATCTTTAAACCGCCGCTTGTCAAAGTATTACGTGTAATCTCACACTGCAGAATATCTGCACACCCTGAGGGGCAAACAATATAGCAGCAGCAATCAAACAACGTCCTCGATCCTTTCAAAAAAACATCCTTCCCCTTTGTGAAAAGTCAGATTTTTAAACTCTGATGGCTGCTACCCCCCCACACCCCCGCGGGGCACATGTTTAGCTTAAACCTTCCACATACCCTCTGTCGGGGAGCCCCGTGGATCAAATCCACGGATACTTGTTTCCCCCCGAGGCACCGAGATGACTTTTCCCATGATAGACTATTTTCGAACCATTTAGCGGATACATTATCGCTGGCCTTTCTTCCTCATTATATTCCCCTTATCGCCACAGCATCGCTGCAAAGCGCCAAAATACAGAGTTGTAATTACCCGGACTGCCACCCGATAGCGTGTCCCTTCTATCAGCTTTATCGTTCCAGGTCCTGCTAACTCATCACGGGGACAGAGGGAAGAAAAGGCCGGCTTGTGGCCCAGCTCGCCACAGATAGCTCATCTCTCAAGATACATTTATAGTTCCAGTTGGGATCAGAGAAAACTGATGCACCAAGGCATTTTTTTTATCCACCTTTTCCCTTCAATACCACAAAGACTGCTCTCTCTCAGTCCTCTCCCAGTCTCTCGCTCTCTATGTGGAAGCTGAATTGAGGCTGCTTCGCAAACAAAAAGTGATCCAATCTCCTTGAACCCGTGGCAGCGCGGCAACGTGCTATTTGG